ATGTGAGAATGATGTTGGTGGCCGTTGCCCCGCCGATACCGCTGTGCCCTGGACGACCGTCACGGATAGCGGCCGCGGTGAGAGACCACCCCCTGCGCACCCCCTTATGGTGTCGAGAATATGCCATGCCTGCTGCGCCCTGGACGACCGTCACGGATAGCGGCCGCGGTGAGAGACCACCCCCTGCGCACACCCTATATGGTGTCGAGAATATGCCATGCCTGCTGTGCCCTGGACGACCGTCACGGATAGCGGCCGCGGTGAGCGACCACCCCCTGCGCACCCCCTAGGGTGTCGAGAATATGCCATGCCTGCTGTGCCCTGGACAACCGTCACGGATAGCGGCCGCGGTGAGAGACCACCCCCTGCGCACCCCTTTATGGTGTCGAGAATATGCCATGCCTGCTGTGCCCTGGACGACCGTCACGGATAGCGGCCGCGGTGAGAGACCACCCCCTGCGCACCCCTATATGGTGTCGAGAATATGCCATGCCTGCTGTGCCCTGGACGACCGTCACGGATAGCGGCCGCGGTGAGAGACCACCCCCTGCGCACCCCCTATGGTGTCGAGAATATGCCATGCCTGCTGTGCCCTGGACGACTGTCACGGATAGCGGCCGCGGTGAGAGACCACCCCCTGCGCACCCCCTATGGTGTCGAGAATATGCCATGCCTGCTGTGCCCTGGACGACCGTCACGGATAGCGGCCGCGGTGAGAGACCACCCCCTGCGCACCCCCTACGCTGTCGAGAATATGCCATGCCTGCTGTGCCCTGGACGACTGTCACGGATAGCGGCCGCGGTGAGAGACCACCCCCTGCGCACCCCCTATGGTGTCGAGAATATGCCATGCCTGCTGTGCCTGGGCGACCGTCACGGATAGCGGCCGCGGTGAGAGACCACCCCCTGCGCACCCCCTATGGTGTCGAGAATATGCCATGCCTGCTGTGCCCTGGACGACCGTCACGGATAGCGGCCGCGGTGAGAGACCACCCCCTGCGCACCCCCCATTGTGCGAGAATATGCCATGCCTGCTGTGCCTGGACGACTCACCGATAGCGGCCGCCGTGAGAGACCAGCCCCTACGCGCCCCCTCTGGTGTCGAGAATATGCCATGCACTGTGCCCGACGACCGTCACGATAGCGGCCGCGGTGAGAGACCACCCCCTGCGCACCCCCTATGGTGTCGAGAATATGCCATGCCTGCTGTGCCCTGGACGACCGTCACGGATAGCGGCCGCGGTGAGAGACCACCCCCTGCGCACCCCCTATGGTGTCGAGAATATGCCATGCCTGCTGTGCCCTGGACGACCGTCACGGATAGCGGCCGCGGTGAGAGACCACCCCCTGCGCACCCCCTATGGTGTCGAGAATATGCCATGCCTGCTGTGCCCTGGACGACCGTCACGGATAGCGGCCGCGGTGAGAGACCACCCCCTGCGCACCCCCTATGGTGTCGAGAATATGCCATGCCTGCTGTGCCCTGGACGACCGTCACGGATAGCGGCCGCGGTGAGAGACCACCCCCTGCGCACCCCCTATGGTGTCGAGAATATGCCATGCCTGCTGTGCCCTGGACGACCGTCACGGATAGCGGCCGCGGTGAGAGACCACCCCTGCGCACCCCCTATGGTGTCGAGAATATGCCATGCCTGCTGTGCCCTGGACGACCGTCACGGATAGCGGCCGCGGTGAGAGACCACCCCCTGCGCACCCCCTATGGTGTCGAGAATATGCCATGCCTGCTGTGCCTGGACGACCGTCACGGATAGCGGCCGCGGTGAGAGACCACCCCCTGCGCACCCCCTATGGTGTCGAGAATATGCCATGCCTGCTGTGCCCTGGACGACCGTCACGGATAGCGGCCGCGGTGAGAGACCACCCCCTGCGCACCCCCTATGGTGTCGAGAATATGCCATGCCTGCTGTGCCCTGGACGACCGTCACGGATAGCGGCCGCGGTGAGAGACCACCCCCTGCGCACCCCCTATGTGTCGAGAATATGCCATGCCTGCTGTGCCCTGGACGACCGTCACGGATAGCGGCCGCGTGAGAGACCACCCCTGCGCACCCCCTATGGTGTCGAGAATATGCCATGCCTGCTGTGCCCTGGACGACCGTCACGGATAGCGGCCGCGGTGAGAGACCACCCCCTGCGCACCCCCTATGGTGTCGAGAATCTGCCATGCCTGCTGTGCCCTGAACGACCGTCACGGATAGCGGCCGCGGTGAGAGGCAACCCCCTGCGCACCCCCTATGGTGTCGAGAATATGCCATGCCTGCTGTGCCTTGGACGACCGTCACGGATAGCGGCCGCGGTGAGAGACCACCCCCTGCGCACCCCCTCTGGTGTCGAGAATATGCCCTGCCTGCTATGCCCTGGACGACCGTCACGGATAGCGGCCGCGGTGAGAAACCACCCCCTGCGCACCCCCTACGGTGTCGAGAATATGCCATGCCTGCTGTGCCCTGGACGACCCTCACAGATTGTGCAGACGTCTTGGGTGTATGATGCAGTGAACATGTACTTGTGTGTGCGAGTGTGTGCATGCGTGCGGCTGTAAGTAGACGCGTGTCTCATGTACTTGCCGTGCATGTGTTGACCGCGGGTTGAGGAGAGCAATGAAGAGGAGGAGGGGAGGAGGAGACGCGGGTGCGCCGCGGCAGGGAAGAAAACCAGAACCCCACGAAACATGTGGGGAATCACATCTAGAATATTTCTCGCCCGCCGCCGACATTGCGACCAATCTGAGCCCGGTAAAGGTGCTGAGAGGCCAAAACTTCTCAACCGCATCTACATGATTTTCTTCAATGCGTTTCGCCGACCCCTTGGGGTCTTCTCGGCGAGTGAGACCGTTGCCCCTCCCCAAACCCTTCCTCTGAAAGCTGGGTTCGGCCGATTGGAGAAGGGGGGTCTGGGCAAAAGGGCCGGGGGCCTCATTCATGCCAGATATGTTTCAACTGGCTGTAACATGAATACAAGAAGTGCCCCGGGGAGGGGCCCAGGGGGGAATCCTGTTCCTCCTCCTTCTCCTCCTCCTCTTCCTCCTCCTCCTCCTCCTCCTCCTCCTCCTACTCCTTCTCCTCCTCCTCCCCCTCCTGGTCGTCGTCGATGTCTTTCAGGATCGGCGGCACTGGCCGTCAGGCCTTCATGATATAAGAAGTGCCCCGACGCCTCCCTCTACGAGGCCACCCCAACAACACCAAGACGCCACAAGATGGCCTCAATCCGCCACCGTGCCTGCGGCACGATGAAGAGTGGAAGAACGCCAAGGGCTGCCTGGCAAGGCTTCTGTGGTATTCTAGGGGCTCCACCCTCCAAGGGACGCGCCCACCCGACTGCATCGCCCCCATCACCAGGGGTCCCTGGGCGGCCGTGGCGCCTCCCTGGGGCTGTCCAAGGCTTCCCTGACGGCCCAGGAGGCCCCCAATACGGTCCAAGGGAGCCCCGGGTCGCCGAAGGATGGCTCGAAGACGCCCAAGATGGCCTCCAGGTGGCCCAAGAGGCCTCCAAGACGCCCCAAGAGGCCTCCAAAAGCTCTCAAGAAGGCCACAAGAGGCACTATTCATTGATTTTCCGTAGGTTTTTGATTGATTTTGGCGTTCTCGCCTCTTCGGCTCTCCGACGTCCAAGACGGCCCAAGAGGCCCCCAAGACCACCACAACACGGCCCTAGAGGCCTCAAAGAGGGCACCAAGACGGCCTCAGAGCACCCCAAGACGGCCCAAGAGGTGCCCAAAGCGGCCCATGAGGGCCCCAAGACGGCCCCGAAAGCGGCCCAAGAGAGTGAACTCGAACCGAACACCCAAGCCTTCCGCCCCAAGAGGCCCCCTGGAGGCCCCAAGACGCGACCAAGAGGCTCCCAAGAGGCCCAACAGGGACCTCAAGAGGCCCCCAAACGGCCCCCAAGAGGCCCCCGAGAGGCCTCCGACGAGATCCCAACGAACATCCAATAGGATTCATAGCATGATGGCGAGACTTGGCGTAGGCAGCTGGATACATAAACAGAAGCCTCGAATACGCCTCCAGAGCGCTCGAAGAGGACCTTTGACAAGGCTCCATGCAGCGAGCAAGAATCGTCCCATTCCATGTCAGAAAATGTACATTTTCAGCATCTTCGCCTTCTTAGCCTTCACAGCGTTCACGACGGCCCCAGGGGCCTCCAAAATCCAGACGCCCCCTCGAGAGCCCCAAAACAACTTCAGACAACCCCAAACCCCAAACCGGCCCAAAAGGAGCCCTGGACTGCACCGGAGGACCCCAAAAGGGGCCTCAGGGGGGCTCGCGACAGCCCAGGATGGCTCCAAGACGGACCAAGAGGCGCTCGAGATGGACCAAGAAGCGCCCAAGACGGCCGAGGAGGGCCCCAAGAGGCTGCCAATAGTCCTAGGGGCTCCCGACCCCTCGAAAGCTTCAAAACCGCCTCCAAGAGAGGGGGACGGACAAGGGGCAACAGGCCCTTCGCAAGCGCAAAAGGCCACTGGATGACGCTCCCAACATGTCACCAAAACGCCTCCGCCTCCCTCGCCTCTCCGTCTTCCTCCTTTACCTCCTCTTCTTTCCCCTCCTGCCCCTCATCCTCCTCTTCCTCGCACGGACTGGCGGGACGCTTCGAACGACTCTCACTCTGTCAGGAATCGCCCCCCCCCCCCCCCCTGCTCCCCTAGAACCTGTACTGGGCTGGCCAGAAGCTCGACGGGGAATCCCGCCGCGGCGACGATGGCCCCCCAAGAAACCCCCATAGAACCTCGAAGATTCGTGGCTTTTTTGGAGGTCGTCCTCCTGCCTCCGCGCCGTTCCCGCTTCGGGCCTCGCCTGCGCTGCTCCCCCCCCCCCCCTCCCCGGAATCTTCGACATTCCCTCCCCAATTCAAGTATTTTCCCATACTTTCCTGGGGGTCGACGCTCACTTCTGTCTGCGTGTCATTTCTCGACCTCCGCGCCGTTGCCGTTTCGGGCCTCGCTTGCGCTCGGGGGGGGGGGGGGGGGGGGGGGCGGGGGCCTCCGCGAGCGCCCGGTCGTGGCTGAGTGCCTCGACCCTCAATGTGGCCGCCGCCACCTCTGGGGAGAAAGGCGATGCGGTCGCTGTCGGCGTCGGATGCCGTCGTCTTCGTCGTCGCCACGGAAGGGGGAGGCGGCCGAGAAGGAGGTCGCTCGACCTCGAGGAGTCCACCCCGTGCTGTCTGAGCATCGGAGGAGAAACGACGCAAACCCCCGCCCCCGCGCCCTGCGATGCGCGCAGGCACGCCGGAGCAAGAGGCAACACATGCCGACGGACTTACGCTGGCCCACGAGCACCACGATGTAATGGGGGCGCTGGAGGGAATGCCGCCATGCTCGCCAGGTCGCGGAGTCGAGCGCGATTGACCCGCTCTCGAACGAGAGCCCTCCCAGCTCCGCGGCGGGGGGGAGGCTGAACACGCTCGCGCGCGAGGCCCTCGTCGGCGGCCTGGTCGATCAAGGCCTGCTTCTGCGCAGCGGCCGTGCCGATGGCCACCGTTTCCCGAAGTTCCCAGCGGCGTCGGGGTTCACGCGGGTTGCACTCCGCACAGGGCGCGCCACGCCGCTGCCGTCGCCGCGCTTGCCTCAGGCCACGGGCCGCCGGCGCTTGGGCCGGAGGAGGTCCTCTCGCCGCGCTAGCCGCCCACTCGCCGCCGCCTCCTCGGCGCCGTGGCCTGCCTGGGCTGCTTCCCCGCGCGCGGCCCCGTGCGGAGCCCCGCGAGCCGCTGCGGCCGCTCCCGCGCGGGCCTCCCCGCCCAGCGCGCGCGCGCAGAGCAGAGCAGACCGCCGCCCCAGTGACTTCGAGTCCTCGCCGCCGAACCCTGGGCGGGGGCCTTGCGCCGCCGCGCCCGCCGCGCCCGCGCGGCCGCTGGCGCCTCCTGGGGGGGTGGCTCCGCGGCCTGGGTCGCACGCGCTGGCGACGCCACCTTCGACGCGATGTCGGCGGCAGCTGCTCGCCGCAGCCCCTCAGCCGCCCGGAGCGGGCGAACTCCCTCACAGGAGCGGCATGCGGCCGAGCCGCCGGCCGCCTTCGCCGCCGGCACTGCCCTGCGCGCCGTAGGCAGCAGTGGCCCGGGGTTGAGGCGGCTGAGGGTCTGCTCTCAGCTAGCTCCAGCCAGCGGGACTCGCACTGGTGCCCAACGCAAGCAGAAGGAGGGCGAGAGGGGGAGAGTGAGACCAAAGAGCAAGAGGACGAGCGAAGGAAGGAAAACTAAAAGTTGGGCGCAAACACTCGCCAACATAGACATCATGACATGGGCGGGCACGAAAGTGCCCAGCTCGGCGCGCGCTGCTCAGCAGCTTGTGGAGGGCGAGCCAGAGCTGAGACTGCAGCTCAGGGTCGGCCGGCAGCGGCTGCCAACCATCAGCACGCCAAGCCTATGCAGGCAGAGGCACGAGCTGCCAATTCAGGAGGAAGGAGGGGGAGAGGGAGGCCCCAGGTGGCCCCACCAGGCGCCCAAGAGGCCTCCACGAGGCTCCCAAGAGACCCCCCAGAGGCCCCAAGAAACTCTCAGAGGCACCCACGATGCTCTCAGAAGCGTCCGGGACCGCCAAGAGGCCCCCAAGACGCTCCAAGAGGCCTCCACTGGGGAACTACTCTTCCTCTGTGTGCTGCCCATTTCCCTGATCGAAGCAATTCCTCTGGGCATCGTTTATGGATGGGTTGGTAGGGTTAATTACGCGAAACGTCTAGAGTTCCCTGTTCGTAGGCCCCCAACGTCCCACATCACCATCCCTGGGACTTCAACGCCGCGAACCAACATTACTGTTGCGACCTGACGATCGCTCATCGTGCCAGATCATGATTTCTGGGACGCTAACACCGCGAATCAACGTGACTGCCACGACTTGTCAACCCTAAGTCGCGCCAAAACGTAATTTCCGGGTCGTCAACCAGAAGAGCCTTGATAATACTGCAAGCCTTTAAGTCGAATGTGTGCGGCGCAAAAGCGAGAACCACATTTTGAATAGGAAACGCCCTCCATCAATGAAACTCTGGCAATGTGTACAACGAATGTGTGCAGCGATGAAGCGAGAACCACATGCTGAAAGCTGCCCGCTCTCCATTCGTGAAGCTCTTGCAAACTGTCAAAACGAATGTGCGCGACGCTGACGCGAGGACCACATTTTGAAAACGACCCGCCCTCTATCTTTGAAGATCTTACAAACTTGTCAGACGAATGTGCGCGGCGCTAGAACGATAACCACATTTTGAACACGGCACGGCCTCCATCCGTGAAGCACTTACAGATTTCAAACTTCAAGATCCCAAATCTCAAGCGAAACGCACAGCCCGCCCTACCGACCCGTCTCGGGGTGCGACAGGGAGTTGTTTAGAAGGAAGAGGGGTGGAGGAGGAGGCGGAGGAGCAGGAGCAGAAGCAGAGGGAGGACAGGAGCGAGGATGAGGATGAGGAGGACAAGTAGGAGGACGAGGAGGAGAGGATGAGGAGGGTGAGGATGAGGAGCGAGGAGGAGGAACAGGTGGAGGTGGAGGGTGGCCACGAGCGAGAAGCGTCTTCACGGGCACGGGTTCCTGGAAGGGCCTGAGCGGGAGGTCGAAGACGGCGGCGAACTTCAGGACCCCAGTCCCCTCGGGATCCCGAGCCCTCGCGGGGTGAGGCGCAGAAGCACAGTGAACAGAAAGCATTAACATCAAAATTCTCGAACGTCTGCCAACGGCTTCTCCGCATGGGCAGTGGCTTTGCGCGCTCGGGTGTGGAAAAGGGTCTGGCGCCGTCAGAGAAACCGTCCGGGGACATTCGACGTTGCTTAAACCTCATGCTCTTCCGCCTGGCGGCCAAGAAAACCTCATTCAAAACATAATGGTGTTTTCCGGAAGGCTGTCGACCCGAGAGCCCCAGAAAGCCTCACAGCAAACTCGACATGGCCCCCAACCGTTCCCAGGGGACCCCAGAGAGCTTGATGCCGGATGCGGCCAACCTGGGCCACCATTGCTCGCCTCCGTGCTGCCCTTGTGTTCTCCCTCGGCCAGCCTCTGCTCTCGTGCCCCCCTTGCCGATGCTTTCTTCCCTTGCCCCGTCCTCGCTCTCGTGGCCCCCTGCTGCTTCCGCTGACGCCACCTGCTCTCACGCCGCCTCCCGCATCTCTCGGCGGCGAGCGAGAGAAGGGAAACGAGAAAAAGAAGGCCTTCTCAGAAGGCTCGGAAGTCCCCCGGCCTTCTGAGAAGGTTTCTAAACCTTCTCCGAAGATGCAACAAAAACTTCTCAGAAGGCGCGAGGGTGTCGCAGAAGTCCCGCCGCCTTCTGAGCAGGCCTTCTCCTTCTCACTCCCCCCCCCTCGCTCGCCGCCGACTCTCGTCCATCCCGGCTGGCATCCTTCCAGTGTCGGCGAAGCCGGCCCCGTGCCCGTCCAGAAGGGGAATGTGGGCGAGAGAGGAGGGCAACGGAGAGGGAGTGGCCTGGCCGCTGGCTGGGCCGCAAGCTTTCCCTTACTCTCGGCCCATGCGGTCCCACCTCCCCCCGCTGCAGCACCGAAGCGCAGAAGTGGCGCGTCGCGCTCCCGCGAGCAGGGGGACTTCCCGCGGCCGCGTATCCCTAGAGGAACAACAGATGGCATAAGCGTAAACTTTCTGAGGTCCGCGCAAATTTCTTGGATCGGCATTGGGCCCCCCTGACGGCGCATCTGGCACCGATCTGAGCAATCCGTGCGGACTTGAGGACATTTGTGCTTCTGTCGCCTGTCTTTCCCCGAATCGCAACAACAGGCTGCGGTGTACTGGGCATTCAGCGCTGCCTCCTCCGAGCCTATCCCCACTCCAAACTGCCCCCGAGGGAGGCCAGGGGGACGTGCCCGAGCGGAGCGTGCCCTCCAGGAGGGCCTGCCCACGCCTCCTGTCATCGCAAATGAGAACTGCGGGGGGGGGTCCCTGGCAGCTCTCTACGCTCCGGGAACCTAGGCATTCGGCGCTGCCTCGCCCCTGCGCCACTGCGCCACATCTCGTGGCCCCTGCGACCGCCAGCTGCCCCGAAAGAAGCGGCGCCACGTCCCCCCGCGCTCGCGATGCCCTGCAGCCCCCCCCCGGGCAATGAGCAGTGACAACAATTGTTTTTTGAACCTCGATGCCCTGCAGACGTCGGTGCGAGCGCCAGGGGCGGCGCCGCCAGGGGGGCCCAGCGCCCATCCAAGTAGAAATCCGCGCGGACCTCCAAAACATCATGTGTATACATTTGTTGTTGTTCCTCGGGAAATGAAACATCCTTCTGACGTCGGTCGGAAAAGGGCGAGCTGGGACACCGGCGACTCAAACATCGTTTCCAAGACCCCTCCCGGGTGCAAACGCATCACTTCTCCGAGCTGCGTCCAACTATGGCCAACTACCGTTTTCTCAACTGGCCCCCTTTTCTGAGTCGGGACAGAGCGGGACAATGCCGACGAGGGCGCATCCCGAGCGCCTGCCAGAACGCGCTAGACGAGGGCTGCTGGCAAACCCGACCAGCTTCCCCGTCGGTCAAGCGCCGTGCACAACTGAGGTCGGGAATGACAAGGAGAAGGCCTGCTCAGAAGGCGGCGGGACTTCTCAGAGACCCCCGCGCCTTCTGAGAAATTGTTTGTCTTCGGGGAAGGCTTAGAAAACTTCTCAGAAGGCTGGGGGACTTCCGAACCTTCTGAGAAGGTCTTCTCCTTCTCGCTTCCCCTCTCTCGCTCGCCGCAGAACAAGTGAAGGCGAAACCTGGAGCGAGCTGCAGGGTACCCCCCCCCCGCGATGGCCCTGCGGTGGGACTTCTCATGCGCCCCGGGGGCGCCCGGGCGGCCAGGAGGGCCCCGAGACGGCCCCCAAGAGAGCCCCAAGATGGCAGAAACTGGCCCTGGGGACCCCCAAAGCTGGCCCATAGGTGTCAACTGGAACCCTTCCTGTTGATGTTTAATGCTATTTCATGTGTCTCTTTGCACAATGACTTGCAGCAGTATAGCAAGCAGTGCGTTTCATTGTTGTTGAACCGCCGCTGTTTCTTGATCGAGGGGCCCCTGAACCACGCAAAAGGTTGCGTCTTACATTCTTCGTCACGACGAGATTATGTACAGAGAGCCCGTGATACTACAGACAACATTCTCCAGAGAGCTCGTGAAGGACTTAGCATGCCTTCGCAGGTTGATATTTTCAAGCGGAGCAAGTGGTCCGCCCCACCTGCTTCCCCGCTTCCAATCATGCCGCCGGCGCCGGGCGCCGCGCCGCCGACCTCCGCCAGCGACACCGCCGACGAGAAAAACGGGTGCGAGATCCGCACCAGGGGCTGCAGCAGCTGCCCCAGCCGCCGCGGTCGGTTCGCGGGCCCAGGCGGCGGACGGGACACATATCCCCAGCACTGTGGACGAGGCCGACTACGCCGCCACGCTAGGAGAAGAGGACGACAGTTGGAGCCGCTGGAGGGGCGGCGGTTGGTGGACCAACAATGAGAACGGCTGGGACGACGGGGGAAGAGGCCTTGACGCATGCCTGAACAAGACAACGTCCAGTTTCGAGCTGCGGCGCAGCGAGGGTTATAAAGTTTCCCGCCGCAAGCTCCAGGTCTTCGAGAGGTGCTGCCGCAAGAGAAGTCTTAGCGCCATCAGCGAAGGCGCCTGTCTGAGCATGAACTCGTTGCAGGGCGAGGCAGCAGAGGCTACGGAAGATATCGACCTGGACTTGCTGGGGACAGAAGATGCGTTCCAGCCCATCAGAAAAGTGCTGGACGAATACGACAAATACGATGATCAGACCGAACTGCCGGTCAGAACGGACACCTTCTTCGGCAAGTTCGCACGACAGGAGAAAGAGACGCTGACGCTGTATTGTTAACGCCACCAGCGAGAGCTGCGCAAGCTGAAGGTGGTCGGAATGGAGATTCCCGATATGCTGGCTGGCTGGCACGTCCTCAATCGAGCCGCGATACCACCGAACGGAGCCACACAGGTGCGCAGCCAGTGCGGAGACGGTCCCAGCTGGCTGAAGGTTCGCAAGGTGCTGCTCGACACGTGCAGAGCGGAGGCTACGCCCGACAAGCGCGACGTGAAGAGGACCGAGCGGATGCTCGCAGGAAGCAACGCCACCGCGGACGCGAATTGCACGTGCGACTACGAGTGGGAGAGAGGTCTCGTCTACAAGGGTTCGTGCGTGGGCGAGGACGGCTATTTTGAAGAGGACGCCAACTACGACCACTATTACGAAGATGATGGCGGTTACGGGTGCGAGCAGGACGACGCCGACGGGACTGAGGACGTGCCGCCAGATATCGAGGAAGCGCAGGTTGCCTGCGACGAGGCGTACGTCAGCTTCATCGAGAGCAAGAAGCGTGTGGCCGAGATCGCCAAGTCCCGAGGCTTCAACCCGATCGTTGCCCTGGCCCCTGACAACAACTTCACGCGCGAGCCGCGGTCGACGCCCAAGGGCAGCGGTAGGGGCGAGGACAAAGGACGAAGCAAAGGCAACGGCAAGGGCCAGGGACCGCCGCGCTTCCCTCCTCGCGGAGGCCAGGCGTTTCCGCGTCCGCCTACATCGGCCCCGCCGCCTACGCCTCCGAGGTCGAGCACGTCGGGGTCGACCCAGCAGCGCGGTCCTCGATTCAAGCGATTTCGAGCTGGAGGCTTCGTGAACAAACATGGAGAGTCGCACGTGGTCGGGGACGTGGGCGACGCTGCGGAAGCTGAGGATCTCGAGTTTGCCAATGCCATCGAGGAGGTACACTTGGTCACGGTCGGCAAGGGCATCCGCGATGGAGGAGCTACTCGACCCGTCATGGGCGATCAGAATTGGCGACAGCGGGGGGAGTATCTGCGAGCCAAGCAGCTCATTCACGACGCGAGGTGCGAGAACAGCGACCGCAGGTTCAGATTCGGCGACGGCAAGACGCTAGATGCCTAGCAGAAGGTCACGCTCACCGTCTGGCCCTTCGGCGCGAGGAAGGAGATCGCCATCCACCTGGTGCCTGGGTGGACACCGCTCCTCATCGCGAGGCCGCGCATGGAGGGGCGGGGGCTGGTCCAGGACTGTCGCGAGGGCAAGCTCATGCCGAAGAGCCACCCCGAGCAAGGCTGGTGGATGGCATCCGAGCGCGACGAGAAGGGGCACTTCATCATCGACCTGCTAGGCCGTGCCAGCAACGCGCCCGACGACGTCGCGAACATGGGCATCCCCGCGGAAGGCGAGGGCAGCAACGCCAGCGACGACTCATCCAAACGCGTTTCAAGCGATTCGGGACCTGAGGGCGACGCCGCGGACTCGGACATCGGGGGCGCCGACGCGCACTACCTGGAGACGTACGCGGAGTTTCTGGTCACAAGCGAGACGGACGAGATCATGGTCATAGAGTCCGGGGGCCCAGAGGACGGCGCCAGGGAGGGCCCGGACGGCGTGCCGCAGGACGTCTGCTCAGACTTGATCCACGCATTGGAGAACGCCGAAGACGGGGTGTTCTCGCTACTGCAGGGCCCTGGTCCGAGGGTCGTCTGGGAGGTTTTTGCGGGCCTGGGCCGGCTCTCCGCCGAGCTGCTGAACTACCCGATGGTCGAGGCGGTGCATGTCAAGCAGAGCGAGGGCTGGGGCCTCTCGAAACCGCGCATCAGTCGGCAGCTTCTGGAAGCCATCGGCAGGGAGGAGCCATGCGACATCTTCTTTGCCCCGCCGTGTACCAACTGGTGCTCGTGGCAGCGCGCGAACGCGCCCCTCTCGGAGGAGCGCAAGGAGACGATCGCCATGGCGAGGGAGCGCGAGGAAGCCACCTTCCTGAAGATGGCGAAACAGGCTTTCGACAAGCAGGCCGCCGCTGGACGCCATGCATATGTGGAAGGACCCTCGAGCGGACTTCATTGGAAGACGCGAGAAATACAAAAACTCAGGGGTGACTTTTGCGGGCTGGATCAGCGCCGACTTGGGGCCGAGTATGAGATCGACGGAGTGGCCAAGCCGCAACAGAAGCCGACAAGACTACAGTCAACCAGCTACGAACTCATCACAAACATGGGCATGGGATGCAAGTGTAAGACGGAGCATGTGGTGCTTCGTGGGAGGCTAGCGTATCATGCCCGCGACAATCCAGCAAGGGTGGCGAACAGCATTGCCTACCTCATCGCGCACCAAGGACGCGAGGAAAAAGGTCGACGAGATACGCGCCACAGAGGAAGTCGGACACGACTTCGACTTGGGCGAGTACAGCGACGCCATGCGGGAGCTCACGGAACGCTACAACGTGTCCACCGCGCGGGCCGTCAAGCGCGCACATCAGCCTGGGGCATCCTGCCGGTGCCGCGCTGGCCACCGCCATGCAGAACGCGGAGGCCCCAGCTGAATGGATCCAGTGCGCTTGGGCATTCCAGTGCGAGATTTGCATGAAGCGCCAGAGGCCGCGTCCAGTCCGCGTAGCGGTCCTGCCCAAAGCCAAGCTCGTCAACCAAAGGGTCTGCACGGGCGTGTGCTACATCACGTGGAAGAAGAAGAAAGAGCGCAGGGTCGTAGCCATCATGGGCGAGTTTTCCAGGTACGAGGTTGACTACCCGATCAAAAAGGAAACGTTCAGGCGCGAGACGAACCTGTGGGGCAAATTGTGGACCAGCTGGGCAGGAAAACCCGACTGCATGCGCGCGGGCGCTGGGTGATCGCACGCGGCAGCCAAGATGCAGAAGTGGAAGAGTGAGCGCAACGTCGAGCATGGCAGCGTCCCCAAGGGTGCTCACCACAAGCTTGGCCTGACGGAGCGCAATCGCGCCGTCCGTCGAGAACAAAAGGCCAAGTGCCGCATGCAATTCCCCGACGACTCGCTGAAGACGGCCCTGGGGGTCACGGCCAACCAGCGGAACGCGCTGAGAAACGTCGGCGGTTTCTCTCCGGCGATGCTAGCGTTGGGCGCGCAGCCCAAGATCCCTGGGGCGTTGGGCGACGAGGGCTTGGGCTTAGCCGAGCAGTCCGCGTTGACCGACCCGAAGAGCGAGGTGCACGATATCATGGTGCGTCGAATGGCCGCGGTCACAGCCTTCATCGAAGCGAACTCCCCCGCGCCGCGCGAGCCGCCTTGCTCGCGCGCAGCCGCCCCGCGCGAAGAGACTACGAGATCGGCGAGCGGGTGTGCTGCTGGAGATCAGACGAGGACAGAGCGCTGGAGATGCGTCGCTGGCGCGGGCCCGCGCTGGTCGTGGCCGCGGAGGCGAAGTCCAACGAGGGCGAGGTGCTACATGCAGGCGTGGTCTGGGCGACGCACGGGCGCGCCATCCACAGATGCAGCTTGGAGCAGCTGCGACCTGAGCTGGCGTCGGAGACGAGGGGCGAGAGGCAAGGCCCGGCGACCCGTGCTGCCCGCTCAGCACCGTGGAGAAGCTGTGGAAGGCGCTCAAGCAGACCAGAGGGGCGTTCAACATCCAGGACCTGCGAGAGAAGGGCGACAAGCCAGAGCGCGACGAGGCTGCGGACGACATGGGCCAGCCCCCAGCAGCCGCCGCTCGCGCGGAAGCGGATCAGGGGGCTGGGCAACCAGAGGACGCCGCGCCAGCAGCACCTGTTGACGTTCGCGCTGAGGAACCAGCCGCGGCCGCGCCGGCGAGCGAGCCGACCGGGGCTCGCATCGAGCAGTTGGCCAAATGCAGCGTGGAGGCGAACGGCCGCGTGGGCGGGCTGCCGAATAAGAAGACGCGGCTCACCTGGAAGACGTTAGAAGCCAAAGCCAAGGACGCGAAGTTCATGAAGGACGAAGATGATGAAAGGTTGCTCTTGCTGGAAGAGTCGGCCGAGACCGTGTTTATGGTCGCGTGCAATTGGATGGCCCCCACCATCGTGGGGGCCAGGCACTCGCCCGGAGAAAAAAAAAAAAACAGTTCCAGGAGGCGAAGTGGGAAGCCCTTGAGGTCTTCAACAAGAACGAGGGGTTGGGGCCCATCGACGAGTCCGAGGTCGACCCAGCCGCCTGCTGTCCGCTACGGTTCTCGCTGGAGTGGAAGCTGAAGGATGGCGAGCAGGTGGCCGGCGCGAGAGTTCCGTGCCAGGGTGCCAAGCATCGCGACGTGGTCGAGGGGCAGCTCGACAAGGAGGCGCCGGCCCTGAGCCGCCTCGGTCGTCGCGCCATCATGCTGCGGGCGACGGTGCGTAAGTGGAAATGGGTTTCCGCCGACGTGAAGTCCGCGTTTCTTCGGGCTGACAGCGCGGAATCCCGCGGGTTGAAGTTGTGCGCCACGCCTGCCGAGGAGATGCGGGAGACGTTGTCGCAACAAATCGGACTGGAACCTGGGCAGTTGTTGAATGTGACCAAGCCATGCTTCGGAGGCCCGCGGTCGCCCAAGCTGTGGCGCTACCGCTCCGATGAAGACGCCAAAGAGACCAGGTTCAAAGACCGTCGGCTCGAGGACTGCCTGTCACTCAGCCTGGGGATCGCGAAGGCCGGTGACGACCCGTTCGACTTTTGCGCGATCGACGGCCAGAACTACTTGGTGGGCGGCCTGATCGGGAAGCACGTGGGCGACTTCTTGGGATGCGGAGAGAACGCGAATGCGGGGGGCGATCTGCGCGCGCCCGTGGACGACCCCGAGTCGTTCAAGGCCAAGCTCGCTCTACTTAACCAGGAGTTCGGTTTCGGCAAGTGGGACTTCGCGTTGGAGCTGATGTTTACGGGTGGCGAGCTGGAACAGAACGTCAAAACCTACGCGACCGCGATGAGGTTTCAGAAGTACTTGAACGCGGTCAAACCGATCACCATCGACAAGGTCCGGCGCGCGAGCCCGACGAGTCCATTGACGCCGAAGGAGCTGACGAGTGTCAAGACGCTCCATGGGCAATTACCGTGACCAGCCGCGCCAAGCATCATCATTGCAGCCGCCGCCGCGTCGTTTCGTCCTGCTGTGACGGGCAACGCCACCGTGCAGGACATGATCGACACGAACTAGGACCTGCGATTCCTGAAGGCCAATGCGGACGTCGGGCTGTGCTTCCGTTTCGACAAGCCGTGGATCGTCATGAGGATTGGAAGTTACTCGGATGCTAGCTGGGCGAGCCAGCCAGACGGGAGCTCGCATGGCGGCTGCCAGATCTTCATCGGGCCTGCCGAGGAGCTTGAGGCGGGCACACCTACGCCGATTGTGGCGATGGAGTGGGCTTCGAAGGAGTTGCAACGCCTGTGCAAGAGTTCGTTGTCAGCCGAGGCTCAGGCCGCCGCGTTGGGCGTGGACTCGCTCATCTGGGTAAAGATCTGCGTGGCGCTCAGCTTAAGGCCCGACCTGGCGGGCGACGAGGCGATGACGTTCTCCGGCCAATCCCCGTTCATCACGGACGCCAAGTGCCTCTACGACGCCTCGCGGTCAGTTACCGCGGGGATGGGCATCGCCGAGAAGCGCGCCGCCATCGAAGTCAGGATCGTGAACGAACAGATGAAGGCGATTGACGCGGCCTGGGAGGTGGGTCAACACTCAGCAGCAGCTGGCCGATGGGCTTACCAAGCTCAGTAGTCGCCAAACGCTAGCGGACATCCTACGCGGTGGAGTGCGCGCGACGAAGTACGACCCGAACTTCGTGGCGGGGAAGAAGCTAACAAAGAAGCAGGTGGAGCTGCGCGAGCAAGAGCTCGGGCAAACCAGCGACGAGCCTGCGGGCCACACCGATACTACGGTTCAGCCGAAGCAGAGAGCGCGACGTGAACACTACGGAACGAGCGGGAGGAGCCTGGCAGTTACTCCAGCTGCAGGCGCCGCTTCAGGGAGCCAGTGGCTCGAAGCGGGCACCTCGATGGATCTGGACGGTGGCGCGTGGGACTTCCTGAAGTTTCTCGTGTTTGTGATTGTGCTATCGCTGGGCGTCGGGCTGGCGATCGGCGGCTGCATGGGGAGAAAGGTTGGCGCAACGCTGGCCCAGCAGAAGATGGAAAACCCGATGGGCGCGGTACTGTAATGACGAGGTGGAGCAATAAGTGACGAAGAAGAAGAAGACGCACCTACAAAGTGCGCAGACAGTGCCTCACCGAAGACGGGAACGAGCAGCGGGACGACGAAGACGACTACGAGGTCTACTATCCCCGGAGATGTGCCGACGCGTGGACCGACCGAGACGTCCGCAACCCGAAATCGCCCAGTTGCGACGGCCAAGCAGCCCGATGTGTACATCACCGCGTACGGCGAGATATACCAGTTGACGAGCACGTGCGTTGGGTTGCGGGGTGCGAAGAGCGTGATGCGGTACGAGATTTGCAAGTTCTGCTACGAAGATGGACCGCCCATGAGCGGCGAGTGATGTGCCCTGCAGGCTGTGGTGCCCAGACGAGAGGTCGAGCCTTGTCTCGTCAATAAATTCAGGGATTGAGATTTTGTGCGGTGGAGCGTTTTACTCCACGTGCGGTATTGCGAGCTAGATTTGCCAGGTCAAATTTGTTCTGAGGGCGATCGCCCGTGGGACTCACGTTTTCCATGCCAGAGTTTCTTTCGTTTTAGGTTTGCTCGCAGGGCCCTTCTCGGGTTCGAGATGTTTTTCTGTTTATGGTGATGTCCCCCCCGGCCTCACGGTGTTAATTTCGTGACTGCTGCGAACTCATATGTGCAAACTCCTTTTTCCGCCCGTGTCAACTGGAACCCTTCCTGTTGATGTTTAATGTCGTTTCACGTGTCTCTCAGCACAATGATTCGCAGCATTCTAGCAAACAATGCGTTTCATTGTTGTTGAACCGCCCCTGCTTCTTGATCGAGAGGCCCCGGAGTCACGCAGAAGGTTGCGTCTACATTCTTCGCCAAGGCGAGATTATTCACAGAGGGCCCGAGATACTACAGGTAGTATTCTCCAGAGAGCCTGTGAAGGATTTAGTTTGCTTTCGTCGGCTGGTAATAGGAGCCCAAGAAATCGCGAAAGAAAAGGAGAAAGAAAACGCAAACGAGAATAGTACCCCCGACACGGCACGGAACAGTATACAGCCGACCCGTATCAGAAGGATACGCGATACGGATGCAAGGGCCTTGGACGACCATCCTTGGCCAACGAAAGTGGTCAAGGATGGGCCGAGGAGGCAAGGCTGCAAAGGTACCCTTGGGAAAGTTGCCCATCCTTACTATGCGGGTTGACTGTATCACATGCTGCGGCTCCCCCACGCCTCCAGACGCGGGGTGTCACACGTTACTGCCTCATGTGCGCCCCCCGAGCAGTCGCCACACAAGGTGCTGGACTGACATGGAGGGAGTTGCCGCTGGCAGCTGGATAGCTCACAGCACCCCATCGAATCTTAAAGCAAAACTGCCCCCAAGAAAAAGAAACCATCTCTTGGACCGATCGCCCCCCGACGACTCCAATGATCGTCGACCGCTTGGTCTTCCCCCTGCTCGAGGGCATCGGGCGCCCCCACCACGCTGTCCAAGTCCAAGTCATGCTCGCTCGGAGGCGCCTCCGTGGGACGCTCCGAGAGGGGAAGCGGAGCATAACAAGGACAAACCCGCTCTGGACCAGGCCCGCAATGAAGCGAGCGGACAGTGGATCACACATGATCTAGAGAATCGTGCCCCTTCTGGCTCTGCCAACGACGCGGAATTCCACTGGCGCGCCCTTGCGCTTCACAAGCCTGGGAGATCCTGAAATGATCAGGGCTACATGCCTGCAAAACGTTCACGCCAAATGTCAATGTGGAAAAATCCAGGCCACCACCTCCAAACATGTGATAACGCATTTCGGGCTGCTAATCCAAATCTGTCTGATCAACTGCAAAACGTCCCGAAACAACATGAAGGGATTCATGTGGGGTACTTCCGTGATACTGGTCAACTCTCGAAGGTCGCGTAAAACACTTTTCGTACATCAGAACACCTGTGCTTTGTCCACCCGGCAAACCAAGAATACGTACTGAGGGCGCTTCCAGACACCACTCGCAACATAATATCAATAGCACGCATTCGCATCGCCACTCCACAGAAGGCGTGAGGACCGAACGGCCCGTCTGCACAACACAAAACAGCGACGGCCAACTATAACCCGGAACAGTAGGTCGTCGAACCCCGGCAGATAAGGTGCAACCAACATGCGGCGATGTTGCGCGGTAGAACTGAAGTGAAACAAACTCAGCGGTAAAACTCTTCATGGTGCTGTGTAAGGAGGGGTTCTTTCTTATACGTGTTTTGTGTGGTGCAACATGTACGTGCTAACGCCTGGTCGCAGCAATGGTGGTAAGGCGTTTAGGGGCCCGTGTTCCTTATTTCGGGAACACTTCAGGCATCTGTAAGACCCTCCGCACCTTGAACCACCACAAATCCTGTGGACATTTCTGAATTCCTCAAGACTCCCCTGGGTTTCGAAACGGTATCTCGCGATCCTTCAAGAACCAAAAGGCTTTCGTCGGCTTCTACTGGATCCCGCGAGACCCATCAGGACATGCCACGGCCCCCCTAACCTGTCCAATATTTCCCAAGATCAACCAAGATTTTTGCGTTTTGCTCTGGCTTTCCGTAGAATCGATCGACAGGCTGATCAACATCCCCCTCAATATTCTCGAATCTTCCCAAGCGTCGTTCTTGTCGCTTATGGTCCCGTACCGTAGGCTCCTCAAGAGCTGTGCAGGATCACTCGGGACCCCCAAAGACGTTTGGTGATTCTTCCAAACTGCGAGCTGTCTTGCACATTCTTCAGGACACATCAACACTATCTTGAATTCACATATGAAGATTTACACACATATATATATATGTATATATATATATATATGAGAGAGAGAGAGAGAGAGAGAGAGAGAGAAAGAAAGAGAGAGAGAGAGAAAACAAAACAAAGAAAGAGAGAGAGAGAGGGAGAAAAAAAGAGAGAGAGAGAGAGAGAGAGAGAACGCGTTTCACGGGCGCTTGCCTAGGGGAGCATTCGGCGGCGCGCTTCGAAAACGGGGGCCGGGGGTTGGCCCCCCCCAACACTCGGCGCTGTCGATCAAAACCAGGGGGGCTCCCCTCCCCCCCAAACCCCGCCTTCCCGAACCCCCCCTGTCCCAATGAAGGGGGGGGGTTCAACACCCCCCCCGGGCGCCGGCGCCAGCGGCCACCAACAGCGTCGACGGCGGGGACGCAGCGACGATGACCAGAGGCGGCCCAGGGTGGGGGAGGGGGTTTCAACCCCCCCCCTGGCGCAGAGGGGGGCAGGGGGGTTTCAACCCCCCGCCCCCCCTGCCCCCTGGCGCCGGCGCCGGCGCTGGCGGCGGCCAGCAGCGCCGGCGCTGGCGCTGGCGACGGCGGGGAAGCAGCGACGATAACCACCACTACCACCACGACTACCACCACAATCGCCACCACCACCGCCTCAACCCACCACCACCACCACCAACCCAGCACTTAACCACCACCACCACCACAGCCGCCACCACCGCCATATCCACCACCACCACCACAACTCACTATCACCACCACCACTACCACCACCACCACCACCACAATCTACCACGCCACCACCACCACCGCCTCAACCACCACCACTACCAGCAGCACAACCCACCACCACTACAAACCACCACACCACCACCACCACCACCACCACCACCACCACCACCACCACCACCACCACACCACCTCCACAAAGCACCGCCACTACCAGTGTCCACCCACCACCACAAACCACCACCACACCACCACCAAACCACCACCACCACAACACACCACCACCACCACCACCACCACCACCACCACCACCACCACCACCACCACCACACACCACCACCACCACACCACCACCACCACACCAACACCAGCACCACCACCACCCACCACCACCACCACCACACCACCACCACCACACAACAACAAACCACCACCACACCACCACCACCACCACCACAACCACCATCATCGCCACCACCACCACCGCCACCACCACCACCACAACCCACCACCACCGCCACCACCGTCGTCCTCGTCGACGCAACCCGCCGCCGCCGCCCGCCGCCGCATCTTCGGCGCTGGCCCGGAAAAAGAAGTCGTCGTCCCTGCCGCCGCCGCCGCCGCCAGCCGAGGAGAGGGAGAGAAGAGAGATAAGGGGGCGGGGGGGGGGTTCGAACCCCCCCCCTCCGTCACGGGAGGGGGGGGGGTTCGAACCCCACCCCCCGTTCATCCAGAAGGGGGGGTCCGGTTCCCCCCCCCTCTCTCCAAGCGACCACAGGACGCGCTTTTTCATAGCCATCGCGCGCAATTCGCGCGCGCTCAAGTTCTAGCTAGGATAATCGTCATCGTCATCATCGCCATCCCCATCACCATCATATCCGGCGTCATCGTCAGCGGCATCGTCATCATCACCATGACCATCACCATCATCACAATCGTCACCATCACCACCATCAGCAGCAACATCGTCATTACCATCGTCATCATCGCCATCGTCGTCATCATCGTCAATATCGTCACCTGAATTATCAACATAATCATCCTCATCATCGCCATCGTCATCATCATCGTCGTCGTCGTCGTGATCGTCGTCATCGTTATCGTCACCATCATCGTCATCATCTTCATCATCCGCCCACTCCTGCATCACAAACACCATAAACAGCATCGCCACCATTATTATCAGCATCGGCGTGATAATCCTGACCATCAGCAGCATCATCATAATGATCGTCAGCATCACCATCCTCAACGGCATCAGCGTCATCGTCATCATGATCGTCAGCATCACCACCATCATCATCACCACCATCACTCACATCACGATCACCATCATCAACATCATCATCATCATCATCATTCCCACTGTCAACATCATCATCATAATCTTCTTCCTCATCCTCATCCTCATCCTCATCCTCATCCTCATCCTCATCCGCATCATCATCCTCATCATCATCATCGTCGCCAACTTCATAATAGTCGTCATCATCGTCATCATTTTCGTCACCGTCGTCTCCGAAGCTCCCCCGCCGAACTCGAGGATATCTCCGCAGCGTCTTGCATGCCGCGTGAGCAGTATTTGGGATTTAGGTTGTGGGCCTGAGGCCGCCCTGCATAATCATCAGTGTCATTATCACCAGCGTCTGGAAGCCTTGCGGCGTCCTTTCGGCGCCTTTTGGAGGCCTCTTGGAGCTTCCTGGGGGCCTCTCGAGGCCTCTTGCGGACTCCTGGGGGCCTCTTGGGAGCTTCTGGTGGGCGAGGGCTCGAAATGTCAGTTCGTGTTCCCCATCTGGGGCTCCTCTTGGAGTTTTCTGGGAGCTCTTTTGGGCCGTCTTGGAAGCTTCCTGGGCCGTCTTGGGGCCCTCTTGGGCTGTCTCGGTGATCTCTTGGGGGCCTCTGGGCTCGTCTTGAGGCGATCTTTCGGGCCTCTTGGGCCGCCTTGGAGCGTCTGGAAGCCGAACTGGGGAGAACGCCAAAACCCTTCAAAACTCATTAAACATCAGTGACAATTTCCTATTGGGCCCCTCCCGGGAGTGCTGTCGGAGACCTGCTGGGACGCTTTGGCAGCTTTTTAACCGTCTTGGAGTGCTCCCGGGCCGCTTCGGACCTCTCTCGGGCTGTCCTGAGGGCGTCCTGGAGCCATTTTAGAGGGTCCTGGGAGCGTCCTGGCGTCTCCGGCGGGGGGGTGACCACAGCCACTGGGCGAAGTGAGGCCCCCCCCTGGTCCAGGACCCCCTCCCCATATATATATATATATATATATATATATATACATACACATGCATGCATATATGTATGTATGCATGTATGTATGTATGTATGTATGTATGTATGTATGTATGTATGTATGTATGTATGTATATGTATATATATATATGTCTATATATAAATATAAACATACGTAAACCATGGAGGATTGTGTACACAGGAGAAGGACAATCTATAGAAACATACGTACGTCGTCCAAGGCGCCTCGGCAGGCGCAGAATACGCCTCCAAGGCGCGGAATCATGTTCCCGGACCGCCTTCCGGGAACATGATGGGGACGACCTCCTGAGGGCCTCCAGTGGGCCTCTTGGGGGCCTCTCGGAGGCCTGTTGGGCTCTCCTGGAGGCGTCTTGGGGCGCGCTCAGGGCCATTTTTGGGCATCTTGGGGGCCTCTGGGGGCCTCCGGGGAGGCTCTTGGGGGCCTCTTTGGGGCCTCTTGGGGCCTCGCGGGGCCCTCTTGGGGACCGCTGGGCTCGCTTAGGCAGTCTTGAAGCCCTGTCGGGGCTCTCCTGGAACCGTCTTGGGCGGCTCCTGGGCCATCTTGGGGCTCTCCTGGGCCGTCTTGGGGCGATTTTGGGGGTCTCTTGGGCCGTCTTGGGGCGGTCTTGGGGGCCTCTTCGGCCGTCTTGGAGCGGTTTTGGGAGACTCTTGGACGGTCTTGGAGCGTCGGAACCCCGAACGAGCGAGAAGGCCAAAAACCTATAAAAAAACAATCAAAATCAACGATTTTGGCTTGTCGGGGCTCTCTTGGGAGGCCTCTTGGGATGCCTTC